CCCACTTGTGGTTTATTGGCAACGTGCGCCGCTCGTGACATTAAAGACTAAGACTCAATACGCTCCGGACAATGTTTTAGAAACTGTTTCAAAAACCGGGAGACTCGTGGGTGTTTGTGATTGCGGTTTATCAACCATACGATACGCCAATGCGTGTAGTTTTTCCTAAAAGTCCCAGTCCCCTTCGAAAGACACTGCCCTCCTTCTTCAGCGACTAGGAGCCAAGTTACATTTCTACATCACAACAGAAATTGCCCCCTTTCCCTTCATCCATGAGTAGACTACTCATGTGGCGTCCACCCCGCCTTGCCAGACACTGATGATTAGTCACAACATTAACTGAATTTGTTAATGTTTCTACTCTTTTTTTAATGTCTTTTAATGGACAAAAACACTTTCCTAAAAGGCCAAACAATTTGAATAGGATACAGTTTTCTAATTGAAAGGGTTATTGCTCGAAGTATATTAACTTTGAAACACTTGTGAAAGACAGTACAATATTTTTACTTAATGCTTCTTCTCCATTTGCAGAACATGGCAAATATTACAAATGAATAAGAAATTTTATCTGTAATTATTTCTGTTAATTTAATTTTTTTTTTTACTTTTAATTAATTTCATTTAATTTTAATTTTATTTGTTTAATTTAATTAATTTTAATAATTGAGGATTTTTTATTGTTTATGTTAATTAATTTAATTTCTTAAATTACCTGCAATTACATGTTTCTAAATTTTCCCGGATTATGCATGAGACTTTTTTCTTTAAATTCAAATGCTTTCTAACGAAGCTGATATTTGTGATTAAAAAAATTTTCCTTTTGAAAAAAAAAATCTACAGTAAATAATTATAACGGAAATTACAACAGAAAATTTTTAAACTGTACTGCAGAATAATAAAACTGCAGAAAAAAAATAACCATCATTTTCATTATTAGCATTTTCCCAAAAACATTCTAATGCATTTTCACATTTTCCAAATCACCTTTTTTTCCCTTTAACTAATATAAAAATGATTGAGTGACGTTATAATGCCTGGTTAATTTCAACCTTTCCCATTTATAACTGTAATTTTACTAAAATAAATCTGATGTTAAAGCATTTTTACGTCTATAACTTATAACGTCAAGAAACACGCAGCTTATATTTATTACATAAATGCTGAGTAAATGGGAAAAAATTTTATTGTTTAAAAAAAATCCAACATTTTATTTTTTGCTTTTAATACTCATAATCTATATCACAGTAATTTAGTCTTGTAACTTCGGGTACACTTTAAAATTACGAATCATGGAGCAATAATATTGATTAAGTATTTTAGAGTTTAAATATGAGAAAATAAATAAGTAAACCCCATCATATAAATGTGCGTATAACAAAATATATATAAACAAAATACCTAAACATTAGTATAATTGTATTTTATAAAAATTATTATAAGTAACTAATATTTTTATTGTTTTTCCCCTAAATCAGAATATCTAATATGTTTACAGTTTATATGGAATTATGTAAATGTAAATAGGTTGTTGTAGCACTTCAGATTTTAAATGCAATTTAAATTGACACCTGAATTCTTGTTACCTTTTTAGTAACGTTGGACTTTTAATTTCCTTTTTGGTATACTAAGGGATTCTACTTTAGCAGGTCCTCTCCAAATTGATAAAACACTATTTTAAGATTAGAAACGTTAAAATTGATGTTTCGATATTCTCTGAAGTTACTACTACTATTACGCCATACCACATCACTGTCCCCAGAGCTGCATTGACCCTATACAGTTTGAGAATGATATGAGTAAGAAGAAGTTAGATTGGGCTCTGTGACGCTCTACGTTCATGTGAGACAGGGACCGACAGCTTAATGAAGATTTCGAAACACTACAAGCATACACGGCACCTCTAGGACTCAAATCCAAAACATGTGGCACCGAGCACCAGAGCGCTAGCCACTCGGCCATTCAGGCCCCGTTCTAAAGATAAAATGCTCAAAAGGTAACAAAAGATAATTTCTATTTAAAATTCATGATAAAAACTAAGAAAGTTGCCAAAGAAATTCAGACCACTGATAGCAAACCTACGTCTAAATAAATTTAATTATTTTATCATCTAACTTCTTAAGTGATATACTTTATTTTAATATATCCTCTCAAAATTAAAAAAAAAAAAAAAAAAAAAAAAAAAAAAAAAAAAAAAAAAAAACCTCTACAACTTTTTTGGAATGTTAAAGCTCTATTTTACGAAACATTTTTAATAATGTACACTATTTTAATAGATTTTCTCAAAGTTAATAAAGCTCTTATATGATTTTTTTAAATGTGAAAGCTAATAAATTAATTTCCATCTGACTTTTTTACTTATGCAAATTATTTTAATAGACTTTTTGTAACTTAATAAAGGCGTAATTTTTTTTAAATGTAAAAACTATCAAATCAATTTCCATCAAACTTTTTTAATGATATACACTATTTCAATAAATCCTCTAAAATAAAACTCTTCATCAATTTTGAAATCTCTATTTTTACCAGACATTTTTAATAATATACACTAGATTTTTTTTTGCCAAATGCTACAAATTCTACTATTTTTAAAATGTGAAAATTCACAAATCAATTTCCATCTAACCTTTTTAATGATATGCAATACATTAATTGAGCTTCTTCAAATTAATAAATCTCTGCATCACTTTTGAAATATGAAAACTTATAAATTGATTTCAGTATATTTTAGGATACAATATTTACAAAGTATAGAATAAAAGTTACCATCCAAGTTTGTTTAAGAGGATATTCAAGTTTACATTTGGAGTAAAACTTATTACTTACTTGTTGAGTGGTATGCATTATTTTAATAAATCCACTCAAAATAAATAAATAAAAATAATTTTTTTGTTTTGAAAGCCCGTTGAGACCAAGTCTATTCCTAAACGTTTGTTAAGTGTTTTTTTTTTTTTTTTTTTTTTACTTATGCCTGTTGAAGAAAAAAATAGTAACTTCCTTCAAATATTTATGACCCAGAACACATTAAAGTTGTTTTATTATTTGAACCACGCAATTTTTTTAGTAGTATGGGCTATAATAAAGTTACTCAAAATGAATAAAACTCTTTTTTTTTTGTTTTAAAATGTTTGAAATGTTTAAAATCACAAGTCGATTACATTCTGAACCTTAAGATTAAAGAAACAACAATATAACAAATAACTAAAATTTTATTACAAACAACTGTTATTTTATTCGCTATTGCTACAACAATTAGTTTACCAACTTCTATGTCTTCATTGATATCAAGTACTAATTATTATTGATAATCTTCAGCTGCCAAGACTTAGCTCACTTTAAGGCTAATCCCTTTTAGGCACAACTTTAATCTTTCTGGTAATATGTACTATCTTAATAGAACCTCTAAAAATAAATGAAACTTTTTTTTCTTCGAAATGTTTAAAAAGGAACATTTAATGCATTTAAAATGCTTGAAATGTTCATTTGAAACGTTTAAAAAGCTTGAAATGTTTAAAAAGGAACATTTTAAATGATACAAATGCTTGGAATGTTTGAAATGTTTAAAAATTAATATTTGAAATATTTAAAATGTTCAAAATGTTTGAAATTACAAGTCGATTTCATTCTGAATTTGAGCTTAAACATCATCCAAGAAGAATAGGAAATTATTTTATTTTACTGATGTGTTGCTATGTAAATCACTATTAGTCTATGTCACATTTTCTATGTTTTAATTGATATCAAGCATTAATTATGATTGGTATTAATGAATACATATAAAATGGTAAACTAATTGTAATTTACATTACAATCTTTAGCTGCAAAGATCTGCCGAGACTTAGCTCACTTTAATGCCAATCTCTTTTTGGCACAACTTTAATCTTTCTGGTAATATGCACTATCTTAATAGAACCTCTCAAAATTAATAAAACTCCACTTTCAGTCCTGGTGAAATTAAAAGCAGAAAAAAAAAAAAAGGAACAGCACATATCGATTCCATTCCCTACTTTTATGCAGAGTGGTTTGACGTGGTAAAAATAAATAAATGTCTTATGTATCGATAAGCCACAGCGAAATTTATTTGTTTTCGTCGTCGACGATCAATGTTCAGCAGAACACCGTCATCTCCCGTTGATGATATTAATGTGGAGATTAAATTATCGACCGCGGTTCTTTATAGCCCAGGCACCGCGATGGAAATTATTGACAAAGATGATAGAGAACCCGGTGTGGTCCGAACGGGTTCCCTTGCTAATATTGAGTTACTGTCGTAACGGCAGAGGCCATAAAATATTTACAAAATATAGTTCTGTATCGCTTTGGTGGGAAGATCGTTGACGGAGTGATACTGTGGGGAAAATGATAGCGAAATGAACTTGGTCCATATTCTGCCAATAATCTGTTTATAGGCTACCGGTGCTGATATTTTATCTTTGATGAACTGAAGACAAGTAGTGTCATATTTTTGACGTTCTTCGCTGGTCGTTTGCGCAAACTTCCAACAGAGAGGGACGTTATTTGATATATTGCATGGCTTATCGGAACTATCTTCCACATTTTGCAAGTTCGGCATGCTTACCTAATACTAGGTATACAAAGATTACTTATCATGGTATACCTAGTATGTATCAGATATGTATCATTAATGTATGTATGTATCATACATTAATGATACATACATACATATGTATCATTAACGTATGTATGTATCATTAACGTATGTATGTATCATTAATGTATGTAAGTATCATTAATGTACATACATACATATGTATCATTAATGTATAATATTTTACAGTGTAAGAGGTATACAGTAAAATTTGGTATAATAATTAAGATACATTTAATAATCATCATATTTAAATAATCATACATACTTTTGAATAATCATTTTCATAATCATTTAAATAATCCTCATACAATTAAATAATCATAAATTTAATCTTGTAATAAATGAAATTGTATTATAAAAGCAATACGCATTGCATATTATTTGAAAAGCCAACGGCCATACCATGCTGAATATACCGGTTCTCGTTAGATCACCGAAGTCAAGCATCATTGGGCGCGGTCAGTACTTGGGTGGGTGACCACCTGGGAACGGCGCGTGCCGTTGGCATTCACAAATTTGGGACCTGAATGGCCGAGTGTCTAGCGCTCGGTGCCACAGGTTTCGGGTTCGAATCCCGGCGGTGCCATGGATGTTTGTAGTGGTTCGTAATCCACTTTAAGCTGTAGGTCTCGGTCTCATGACTGTAAGAGCATCATGGAGCCAAAGTCAGACTACCTACGGGGTGCTCCATCACAACAGAAGCTGCTTCCTTCCCCTTCAATCATGAGTACGTATGGGCTCGTGGGCTTGACCAGCCAAGTGGGAAAAGAAACAACAACAACATATTATTTGAAGTTAAAATATTTTACCAAATATGAAATCCTTCGAAATATTTTATCATATTCATATACATTCAATCTTCTTTCGATATTTTTTATAATAGGACGTTAAGATTATACAGCTGATTTTATTTAGAGAATTGCAAAAGTTTGACATATTTTGCTGATAATTTACATATCTTTTTAATTTTGGAAAGTTATATGGCTTTATGTCAATAAAAACATATTATAATATTTTAATATATTTATGTACCATATATATGACACAAAAAGTATATGAAATATTCAATTTGAATGAAATATAATTTTACTTATGTATTAAACAACTGCCGGAAATAATACAGTATACGGGGAATACTGTAAAATTTGATTTTAATAAATTTCCATGGTATACTAATGTAATAAATTAAGTGTTATAAGAGAAATGCATTGTATACTATTTGAACTTGTCACTTGAAATATTTTATCATATTCAAGATATATTTAACCTTTTTTGAATATTTATTAAATTAGGATGTGGAGATATGTATATAGCTAACTTTATTTAGAGAATTGAAAAAGTTTCACATATTTTGCTGATGATTTTACATATCTTTTGAATTTTGGAAATTTCTAAGGCTTTGCATTGATAAAAACATATTATAATATTTTAATATATTTATGTACCTTATATATTATATAAAAAGGATATGAAATATTCAATTTGAATGAAATATGATTTTCATGAAAATTTTGTTTATGTATTAAACAATAGCCAAAAATAATGTATTAACTTAAAGCATTAAGTCTCATTAATAATGATTAAGTAGATTCACTAAGAATTCAGTAAATGATAAAAAATGGTTGATAAAATTTCGCATAGTAAATTTTCTTCTATTTCATAGGAGATTTTTATCATTTATGCTATATATTTCACTTTTCTGTGGTAGTTAAAATTTGATTATTATAAAGCAAAATTATTTTGTACGATAGGACAATTTAAATAAACAATGCAAACTTGAATTTATCTTAAAAAAATTTTAATTAAGCAATTATTTAAATGTTAACAAAAAAATTAAACGTATGTTATCTAGTATGGACATTTGTGTCTTACAGTTGAACAATGATCGTTTATAGGTCATTTATATAAGTAACTAAAATATTTAATATAAGTCAAAATTGTATTTACCTTTTACAAAATTTTTTACGTTGCAATGTTTTGCAAATTTATGTAAATAATGGAAATTTGAATTAAACAATTATTTAATTATTTACAAAAGTATTTAAATAAAACTATTTGCTAGATAAATTTGCTTTTCATTGTTTTACAATGATCGCTTATAGGACATTTACAAAAATAATAAAATATTTCATACAAGTACCATATTATTTAACGTATTGCAAAATTATGTTGTATGTTGCAATGTTTGCAAATTAACTTATGTAGTGAAAATTTAAGTTCAGCAAATATTTAAATATATATAAAAAATTTAAATAAAGCTATCTGGTATTAAAAGTTAGGTTTTATTATTGAGCAACGATCAATTGCAGTACATCAATAAAAAAATATATTTAAAAATAAGTTCTAAAATTTTTGCACTTATTTTACTGAAGTGCAAACATTGTATTGATCTATTGCAAAATATTGTTATATTTAGCAATATTTTGTATATTTATATAACTAACGAAATTATATAATAGTTAAACATTTACCTTAAAATTAAAAGATATCTTCCTGTTATACAAATTTGAGTTTTGTTGTGTAACAATGATTGTTTACAGTAAATTTTTTATAATAAATACAAGAAGCGCACATTATATATTGGCTTACTTCAAAATTGTGCCGCACGTTACAGTGTTCGCAAATTAACGTATGTAAGGAAAATTTGAATTAAACAATTGTTTAAATATATATATAAAAATTTAATTAAGCTATATATTATTAAAATTTATGTTTTATTGTTGAACAATGATCATTTATAAGACATCTATAAAAAAAAAGTAAAATAAGTTTAAAAAATATATTGATCTGTTCTGCTGTATGTTGCAAAGTTTTGCAAATTTATGTAAATAACCGAAATTTGGATTTAAAACAATAGTTAAACATTTTCCATCAAATTAAAATAAATCTTTCTGTTGAGTTTTTTTGTAGAACAATGATTGCTTATAGGACATTTTAATAATAAGTAAAATAAGTGCAAATTTAGATTGGCTTACTTCAAAATTGTTTTGCACGTTGTAATGTTTGCAAATTAAAGTATGGAAAAAAAATTGAATGAAACAATTATTTAAATATATATAGAAACTATATGGTATTAAAATTTATGTCTTATTATTGAACAATGATCATTTAGAGGACATTTATAAAAAATAAGTAAAATAAGTGCAAAAATTGTATTGACCTATTGTAAAATTCTGTTGTATGCTGCAATGTTTTGCAAATTTATGCAAGTAATGAAAATTTGGATTTAAAAAATAATTAAACATTTACCATAAGTTAAAAGAAATCTTTTTGTTATAAATATTTTGAGTTTTGCTGTCGAACAATGTTTGTTTATAGGACATTTTTAATAATAAGTAAAATAAGTGTAAATTTATAATAGCTTACTTAAAAATTGTACTGCACATTGCAATGTTTGTAAATTAAATTATATAAAAAAATTTAAATTAAACAATTATTTAAATATGTATAAAATTTTTATATAAAGTTATCTGGTATTAAAATTTATGTGTTATTATTGAACAATGATTATTTATAATATATTTTTAATAATAAGCAAAAGAAGTGAAGTATTGGTTTACTTCAAAATTGTGCTACAAATCGCAATATTTTGGATATAGGACATATATATGTTATATATAGGAGATCTATAAAAAATAGAAAGTAAATAAATTGTATTGGTCTATTGTAAAATTCTGCTGTATGTAGCAATGTTTTGCAATTTTAAGTAAATAATGAAAATTTGGGTTTAAAAAATTTGGGTTTGGGAAAATTTGGGTAAAAAAAGTAGTTAAACATTTACCATAAAGCTAAAAGAAATATAAATATTGTTCTGCTATTCAAATTTGAGTTTTTTTTTGTCGAACAATGATTATCTATTAGTAAGTAAAATAAATGCAAATTTATATTGGCTTACTTCAAAATTCAGCTGAACGTTACAATATTTTGCAAATTTATGTGTGTAATAATAATTTAGGTGGCTGGTTTTATTAGGTGGTAGTTGGCGACTGAGTATTATGATAGTTTTTTGCATGCTTCACGAATTTGTGTATAAAATATTCATAAGATAGAAACTAATTCTATAAAGCATCATCTTTATGATGCGACTCATTTGGGAGAAAGTATTACCATTTGAACTTACCCTGGTGTAGTAATACACATTTTCATTTCTTCTGTTATTCGGATCAATATCAACCACATATACGAAAAATGTCAGATTCGTCTTTTGTTGGAGCTATAATGTGAAGATTAAATTATCGATCCTGACCTTCCCTGGTTGGCTAGGTCAGAGGGATTTTAGTCTCAAGTGGAACTTGTTTATGAAGCTTCTTTTTCTGATCCCTTCTTAGTATTCTTTTGTTATTCTTGGGGAAAAAAATCCCTAAATTATAGGGAATTGTTTGGGGATTACTAAACGAACCAGTGATGTGATAACGTTGCTAACTTTTATCGTTGGAGGAGTTGTAAATTGAGAAGCGGTTGCCATTAATGTTTTCTTTTTTTTAAGATTAGATATTTTGGAAGATATGGAATTCCCAAAACGATGAATCTTTCAAACACCAAACAGCCATAATTTAAGGATTATAATTTGCTTATAAAAGTGGTTTATGCATTTGTGTTTAATATTCTGTTTTCAGAGGTTTGCTGCTGCCTATTGAAGTGTAAAGTCAAAGAAACAGTTAAAAAAGAAGATTTTTCATTGATATCTTTATTTTGTATGCTAAATATTTATCGTGAAAATGCATTCTCTTTTGGTTTGAAGTGTGATTATTAGAATTAAGTTCGAGATTATAAATATTCAAAATTTCGGAATTTATCTTTAAATATAAATTATAATATTCCATTCTTCTAGTAGAGATAAAGTAGTATATGTGAGTGTTTCAGTTTATTAATATTTTATATGGTTGTATTGATTGATAATATTTAGAAAATAGGAAATTATGAAATAAATTTAGAAAAACGTTGAATTACAGTTATGATATTATTTTACTGCTTCAATAGATGTTTGCAATAAAATAAGTTTAAAAAATAAATTCTAGTTTCTATAATAAAATAAGATTTAAAGTTTATAATGGATGTCTGTTGAGACATACTCTCACAAAAAGAACGTATATTCTTTTTAATGTCCTGCTACACATAAACGAACGAAGTTTTATTACATACCTACTATCTTATGCTGAAAAATATTTTATTACATTTTGATTCCTAGGTTTCTAATTTGGTTTTTTAAGGAAAAAAAAGTGATACTGAAACGATTCTTATGCATATTGATGTCTTTGTTATGCTAAACATATTATGATTTTCACATATTTATATATTTTATAATTTATATCTTATATCATAAGAATATTCTTTAAAGACTAAAACATATGCTCTATATTTAGAGGTAAATATTTTATTGACAAAAAAATAAAAATTAAAAAGATCAAAATGGGTTTCTGTTTTTATTTATAAAGCACTGAATTTCAAACGGCTAGGTAAAAACAGATTTATTTCACATTTTTGTCTTAAGTACATCATAAAA